AAAGATATGGGGAGAGCAATGGTCCTTTAAGATATCAGCTGCAAAAGAAAATTGCGAATTATACTCAAGCTACTTCCTCAGTGACTGTTTAATACACAAAATTAAAATGTTTATGGGATGAATATGCTTGCTTGGTGTCCCTGCCAGAATGTGTGTGTGGTTCTGGGAAGAAATTTGCTGAGAATGACATGGAAATCAAATTGATGCAATTTCTCATGGGCTTAAATGAAATATTTGAACCAGTTAAGAACCAGATCCTTCTTATGGAACCGCTGCCTACCATCAATAAAGCCTATTCTATGATATTGAAGGTGGAAAAACAAAGATATACAGGTTTTGGGGCCTCAGATCATTTGGATACTTCTGCTATGATGGTAAAAGGATATCAAGGTAGAGGAGGTGGCATGAGATTTAATGCTGTTGGCATAGGAAATAGGGGCCGAGGGTCTAGTGGGCAGAATTTCAATAATGCAGGCATAGGTGGAGGAAATTACAGACTCACCAAAGAAGAAAGGGCCAAACTATTTTGCACACATTGTGGTTACAATGGCCATGAGGTTCAAGGTTGTTTCAAGATAAACGGATACCCAGATTGGTATAAGGAGTTGAAAGGGCAGAGAACTAATGAATCTGCAAACATGGCAGATAGTGATGAAGTTAACAAAAGTGGGGACTCAGAGGTGAAGTCACAGCACAGTGACTCCATGACAGATATTAGCTCAATTATTCAAAAAGAAGTGGACAAATATCTTGCTAAGAAGCAAATAGGTGAGAATTCTTTCTCTCACTTTGTTGAATACACAGACCACATGGAGGATTATGCCTTCACTTTGCTGAATAAACTGGAGAAAGGTAATTGGATTGTTGATAGAGGAGCAAGTAGACACATTTGCTCAGATGAAGGTATGGCTCACAACTCTCTATGCACTTCATTGCCTATCATTGTAAACTTACCAGATGGTTCCAAAATTGAAGTAACTAAAGTGGGAGAAGTGAGACTCAGTGATAATCTGTTGCTAAAAGATGTGCTGCTGATTCCAAAGTTTAAATATAATTTACTGTCAGCGGGACAGTTGGTTAAGGATTTTGGACTTAAGTTTGAATTTACAAATGAGGAATGCAAGCTGATTGATCCTCTGAAAAATGAAATTCTTGTTGTTGGTAAGGCACTATGTGGCTTATATGTGTTGGACAGTGTTAAATATTTTGCCAATGCAGTGAATAAAGAGATAAGAGAGCTGAGTGAGATAGAGCTTTGGCATAAAAGGTTGGGGCACACCTCTATTACTTGCATGAAACATATAGGATTTCTCAAATCTGGGTGTTCACAGGAGAAACTTCAAACCTGTGATGTATGTCATAGAGGTAAGCAATGCAGACTCTCCTTCACTTCCAGTGAGATCAGGTCACTTGACAAATTTGAGCTGATACACATTGATGTTTGGGGCCCACACCATGAGGATTCTCTCACCAACACATCATATATGCTCACTATAGTGGATGATTTCACTAGGGGCACTTGGATATTTCTTATGAAGCATAAGTCAGAAACTCACAATCATATAAAGTTCTTCATCAAAATGATACAAGTGCAGTTTGGGACCCAAGTGCAGAAAATAAGAACAGACAATGGGTCTGAGTTTGTGAATAAGGAAATGGAGATACTTCTAAAGGAAAATGGGATTTTACATCAAAAATCTTGCCCATATACTCCACAGCAAAATGGAGTAGTGGAGAGAAAGCATAGATCTATCCTTGAGGTTGCAAGATCAATTTCTTTTCAGGCAAAACTGGACAAGAAGTTGTGGCCCTACAGCTTGTTAGCAGCAGTGCAGATAATTAATTGCTTGCCAAGTGGAAAACTTGGTTGGAAAAGTCCTTATGAACTTTTTTATGGGAGTCAACCTCCTTTTGAAAAATTCAGGGTTTTTGGATGTCTATGTTATGCTTCCAAGATAGAACCACGCAAAAGAAAATTTGAGTCTAGAGCTACACCTTGTGCATTTTTGGGTTATGTGACAGGAGTCAAGGGCTACAGGGTTTACAATCTTGAGAAGAAAGAAGTGTTTACTTCCAGGGATGTCATATTATATGAACAAGAGTTTCCCTTCCACAGTAATGCACATCAACAATACACAACTCCCTTGCCAGTAATTAGTGATGTGTCATATCAATCTGAATCTGATGAAGAATCCATCACAGAAGTCCCAAAGGAGTCTACTGATGTTTCTCAACCCGTTGAAGAGAAAAGGACCAGAAAACATCCTTGTTGGTGGTCTGATTATGTGATCAACACAGTGCATAATGTTAGTAAAGACAACAATATGGAGCTGTTTTTTACTGAGATAGACAAAGAAAGCACTGAGCCTATGTTTAATGAACAAGCCATAAAAGATGAGAGGTGGATTGATGCAATGAATAAAGAGTTAACAGCTTTGGAGTTAAATGAAACCTGGGAGTTGACAAAGCTACCAGCAGGAAAGAAGGCAATAGGCTCAAAATGGGTTTACAAAATTAAAAGGAACCCAGATGGTAGTGTTGATAAATTCAAGGCTAGATTAGTTGCTAAAGGGTATCTTCAAACGGAGGGCATAGACTACGTTGAGAGTTTTTCACCAGTGGCAAAGCTGGTTTCTGTCAGAATACTCATTGCCTTAGCCACTCAGAAAAGGCTGGAATTGCATCACATTGACATAAATAATGCATTTCTTCATGGTTTTTTAGAAGAAGAAGTGTACATGCACCCTCCAAAAGGATACACTAAAGCTAGAAAGGATGAGGTTTGCTTCTTGAGAAGAAGTCTTTATGGCTTGAAACAAGCATCGAGGCAATGGAATATTGAATTCTCAGATAAACTTTTAGCCTTTGGATTCAAACTGTCCACTCATGACCACTGCCTCTTTGTGAAAGACACAGGAGTGAAATTTCTTGCCCTTCTCATTTATGTTGATGATGTACTTATTGCAGGGTCTTCTTTGAATGACATTGTTGAGCTCAAATCCTATCTTAATGGTCTCTTTACTATCAAAGACTTGGGTCCTGCCAAATACTTTTTGGGACTTGAAATTCATAAGGATGTTATGGGCACATCTCTCAGACAGAGGAAATACATTATGGATATTGTGACAGATCTTAAACTGGAAAATTCTAGGCATGTAGTTACTCCACTACCTTTGGGACTCAACTTATCAGAATTCTCCACCATTTCATGACACAGAGGCATATAGAAGATTAGTTGGGAGATTGCTTTATCTCAACCTTGCAAGGCCTGATGTCTCTTATGCAATTCAGCAATTGAGTCAATTTGTTCACTCACCAACTCAAGCTCACTGGACAGCGGCCCTTCATGTTGTTAAATATTTAAAGGGATGTCCCTCTTTGGGGCTGTATTATAGGGCACAATCTTCTACTCAGCTTGCAGCGTTTTGTGATGCGGACTGGGGCAGCTGTCTGTTAACTAGACGTTCTCTTACTGGTTTTTGCATTTTTCTGGGTGAAGCATTGGTTTCTTGGAAGACAAAAAAACAGAAAACGGTTTCCCGCTCATCTGCTGAGGCAGAGTACCGTTCAATGGCCTCAGCAGTTTGTGAGCTCCAATGGATTTCTTACCTTGCAGCTGATCTAGGTGTTCTGATAACCCGTCCTATTCCTCTTTGGTGTGATAATTGTGCGGCTCTTCATATCACAGCCAACCCCGTCTTCCATGAGCGCACTAAGCATCTCGACATTGATTGTCACGTGGTGCGTCATCAGTTCAAGTCTGGTTTTGTTTTGCCACAGCACATTTCTGGTCACTTGCAGCCGGCGGACATGTTCACAAAGTCTCTAGGTGGTCCTCATTTTCGACGTTTTCTTGACAAGCTGCGAATGTGCTCGGTGGATCCCATTCCCGCTTGAGGGGGGCGTGTTGAGAAAGGGATGATAATCGTGTTGCAGCAGTTTTTTTTATCTTTTATTTGCAACATTGTTTGTTTCAAAGGTGTTACTCTTTACTTAAAGAGTTGTTAACACGCCTTTACCTATCCTTTTGTTTCTCTGCTTATTTCTTTTCTTCCCTCTTAGCTACGTGTCACCTGCTGATTGGATATTATGATCACATGTAAAGCATGAGTTATCCTCCTGCTTATATACTGTATCTGAGCTAAGAGTTTCAGTGTGAATAAAAAAATCGTTTTGGAAAATCAGAATTATCTCACTATCAAAAATGAAGAAAATCTCCTAAATCAACAAACTCATAGTCCCAAAGTTCTAATTTATTTTCGTTTTTAAGTATATACACTATTCACATATAATATTGCAATATAAATATTAAATAGATTAAAAGGTCAAACAAATAAAACTAGAGCAACTAATTAATAAAACATTTGAAAAGGAAGGGAACATGAATACTAAATGAAAATGTGATATACAATAATTTTAGATTTAAATTATGTTATTAATTATGACATATGATGAATGGGACAACAAAATATAAAATGATTATTTATTACTTAACTGGAGCCCATATTTCAGCTTCTTGGCATGTTTAATTGCATTTGATCGATTGAAAGCACAACGGCTGGGATTAAGATTTTGAGGTTTAAATTAATGAATGGTTAAACAAGAAACAACCGTTTAAATGGCTTAGATTAAATGCCAATGCAAATGCTCTTACTCTTGTTAAAATGAAAAAATAAAAAAATAAAAAAATGTTGCTAATATTGTACAATTTGCCGGGAAAATACATTTTGTAGAACCATTGCCCAAATTCCAGGGATTATGGCGATTATTCTAACCGTTATTTAAACATTGGCCCAAACCAAAATCCATTCACATTCACTTGTTGCAAGTAAAGAATTTATATACAGTCAAAGTTTGGAAATATTCCATTAGTTTCTCTCCCCCACGCCAAATCGCCTTCAAAATTCTTAAGACAGCCTGAACTAATAACGATCGACGTAATTAATTCTTCGTTTAGTCACCAATACTTCGACTTCAATTTAGCGCGTAAAATCGAAACAATGACGATAGTTTCAAGATTGTTCCGTTCCGGATTATCGATCCACAAACCACTTCGAATCTTCCTGAGGCACTGCCACAAGGAAACGGTCAACGTGACGTGGGCCAGGCCCGAGAAGGGCTGGACCAAGTTGAACTACGACGGCTCGTGCAAGTGCGAGACGGGAAAATCAAGCATTGGGGGCATTTTCCGTGACTACAAAGCGGGTTTCTTGCTAGGGTATGCCGAGTCGATCGGCCAAAGCAGCAGCACGCTGGCCGAGCTGGCGGCCCTTGTG